TTAACCTGCAGGTCATTAACAGGTCATCAACAGGTCATTAATAGGTTATTAACCTGCAGGTCATTAACAGGTTATTAACAGGTCATTAACAAGTCATTAACAGGTTATTAACAGGTCATTAACAGGTCATCAACAAGTCATTAACAGGTCATTAACAGGTCATTAACAGGTCATTAACATGTCATTAACATGTTATTAACAGGTCATTAACAGGTCATTAACATGTCATTAACCTGCAGGTCATTAACAGGTCATTAACAGGTCATTAACAGGTTATTAACAGGTCATTAACAAGTCATTAACAGGTCATTAACAGGTTATTAACAGGTTATTAACAGGTCATTAACATGTCATTAACCTGCAGGTCATTAACAGGTCATTAACAGGTCATTAACAGGTCCGTCTCTTCAGGGCCACCACTCTGTACGACAGACCCGCCTCGGTCTTCAGAGAGACTCCTCTGGACCTGCAGCACCAGCTCTTCATCAGACTGGCCCACACTCATCCTCAGTTCCAGGAGCCAGGGTGAGACCAGAACACACCTGGTCCAGATCCAGTGCTTCTGTCAGGAACCTGGGACTGGACCAGAACCTGGGACTGGACCAGAACCTGGGACTGGACCAGAACCTGAGACTGGACTCTTTCTGTCTTCTCTCAGGTGTGAGGCAGCAGAACCAGAGAAGACCCTCTTCACCATCCAGAACCGGAGCGACGGTGTTGTGTCTCTGAGGTCGGGTCGACCGGCGCTGCTGGTCAGCAGCACCAGCTGGACGGGTCAGAACCGTGTGGGGCAGCAGACAGGTTTGGTTCTGGATSTGGTTCTGACTCTGGTCTGGTCTCTCTGCAGAGGATGAAGACTTCTCCATCCTGCTGAGGGCACTCCAAGGTCCAGCCTGGTTCTGAGGGTACCACGGTACCAGGCAGAACCGGGTCTCATGTCCTGCCGTGTCTTGTGTCCACAGAGTACGAAGGTTTCATCAGGGGCGGGGCTTCTCTGCCCTCTGTWCTGTGTGTCATCACAGGTGAGCCAATCAGCTGTGAGCTGCTGCTGTGATTGACAGCTGGCTGATGAGGGGGCGTGTCTGTGCTGCAGGGAAGGGTCCTCAGAAGGCCCACTACCAGAGGACCATGGAGGCCCTGCACCTGGACCACGTCAAGATCTGCACCCCCTGGCTCCAGGCCGAAGACTATCCTCTTCTGTTGGGTCGGTTCTGATGGTTCTGACAGGTCCACCTGCAGCAGGACCGGTTAGGACCAGGACCAGAACCAGTTAGGACCAGGACCAGAACCAGTTAGGACCAGGACCAGAACCAGTTAGGACCAGAACCAGTTAGGACTAGAACCAGTTAGAACCAGAACCAGTTACGACCAGGACCAGAACCAGTTAGGACCAGGACCAGTTAGGACCAGGACCAGTTACGACCAGGACCAGAACCAGTTAGGACCAGAACCAGTTACGACCAGGACCAGAACCAGTTAGGACCAGGACCAGTTACGACCAGGACCAGAACCAGTTAGGACCAGAACCAGTTAGAACCAGAACCAGTTACGACCAGGACCAGAACCAGTTAGGACCAGAACCAGTTAGGACCAGGACCAGTACCAGTTAGGACCAGTACCAGTTAGGACCAGTACCAGTTAGAACCAGAACCAGTTACGACCAGGACCAGAACCAGTTAGGACCAGAACCAGTTAGGACCAGGACCAGTACCAGTTAGGACCAGTACCAGTTAGGACCAGTACCAGTTAGGACCAGTACCAGTTAGGACCAGAACCAGTTAGGACCAGGACCAGAACCAGTTAGGACCAGAACCAGTTAGGACCAGAACCAGTTAGGACCAGAACCAGAACCAGTTAGGACCAGAACCAGAACCAGTTAGGACCAGAACCAGAACCAGTTAGGACCAGAACCAGTTAGGACC